GTCAGCAAGCCTGTCCCAGGCGCTGGGACCAAACTTGTGTTACACGTCTTAACAATGCTCTCTGCTCTACTGCAGCGTTGCGGATCCAAACCTGAACTCTCCCCAAGGTCGGCCTGTATGTGACGTGGTGCCCCGAGCCTCCACACACTCAAGACATACACACAGAGCATATCCCTGCTCCTGAAACAGACCTGCTCCCACAAAAGGCACGGTTATCAAGTCCATAGTACCTTGTCAAGTGACTGTTAAAGTGGCCAGAACCCCCTTCGTGTTTCATCAACAAAAAGAAAACATGCCCGCAGGAATTGTTGTTAAGTGCCATCACATCCCCTGCGACTCTTAGCAACTTTATGTACAGCAGCTCTGAAGTCTGCCCTGTCCTGAGTCAGTCTCACTGATTCCGACACACCTACCCTCATCGTCCCAGTTATTGTATCAATCCATCTCATCCAGGGCCTTCCTCTCCTGCGCTGTCCGAGCATGATGTCCTCCAAAGACTGGTCTCCACTGGCCAAGTGCTCAAAGTATGTGAGATGGAGCTTCAAAATCCTAGCTTCCAAGGAGAAACTTAGTTTCACCATCTCCAAGACAGATCTATTTGTTTTCTTGGCAGTCCTTGGTATGTTCAAAACTCTTCTCCAGCACAACTCAAAGGTATCAATTCTTCTTCTGTCATCTTTAGTCACTGTCCAGCTCTCTGATACATAGTAAGTAACTGCAAAGACCATGGCCTATATCAGACACACCTGGGTCTCTAGACTGACATCACTGCTTCTAAGTACTCTGGAGAGGCCCCTGACAGCTTTCCCAGAACAATTTGTCTTTTGCTTTTCCAACTGCTGGTGCCAGGAGTGTTGACTGTGGAACCAAGCAAGCTGTTAACAACCTCAATCTCTTCTTCATCCATCATAGTGCTGCCAACTGGCCCAGTGGTGAGAATTTTTGTCTTCTTGATGTTGAGCTTCAATCCATATTGAAGACTACAGTCCTTGACCTTCTGCAGTGAGTGCTACTGGTCCTCTTCAGTTTCAACAAGCATGGATGTATCATCTGTATAACACAGGTTGTTGATGAGTCTTCCTCCAATCCTGATACCTCCTTGTAAAGCCCAGCCTATCAAATGATCTGTTCTGCATACAGATTGAAAAGGTATGGAGACAGGATGTATCCCTGTTGTGTACTCCTTTCCTGATTTTCAACCACGTAATGTTTCCTTGCTCTGAGGACTGCTTCCTGGTCCAATATAGGTTTCACATGAGCACAATCAAGTGTTCTAGGATTCCCATTCTCAAGGTTAGCCAGAATTTGTTGTGATCCACACAGTCAAATGCCTTTACATAGCAAAAGGAGATTTAAAAGCAGAAGGAATTTAAAACAAAACAAAACATACCCCCACAAGAAAATGCAAGTAGGAATTCAAGATGAAACTGTGTGTATGTGTATGTTACTTGTAACTTTCTTCCTATGATGGCGTAGCTCTGAGTAACCTGTGCTGGCTGGCAGCTCCCACTAAGGGACTATTCTTGCAGAACGCTAAGATAATCACTTGCAAAATGTGGATGCTGCCAAAATCTATGGTGCTGTTTTGCAACCCTCCCAGACAGGACCTGGAAGCTCCAGATCTTTCAGCAAACCATGTTAACGGTAAACTGTTTGCCATCCAACCCTCAGTGGGAAAAAGTACTGCCAGATACAGATACCAAGTCATTAAAAAACTAACTTTGTAATCTTCTCAGGAAGTTACCCTCAAGTAGCAGCCACATTCTAAACCTGTCCTTAAATCAAACTTGTACATAAATAGGAAGTTGGGCTCAGTTCCTGTCTAACAATTGATAAAATGTTTATCTTGGTATATAACCTACTTTTCTCTGCATAAAAGGCATTAAAGAACCCCTTTTGGAAACAATAAAGGATGTTTAACGTAATTGTTGTTACGTCCATTGAGTTGCCCACGCTCATAGCAACCCTATGTACAACAGTTCTGAACTCCACTGTGGCCCAAGCCAGTTTCACTGACTCCAATACACCTATCCCCATTGCCCCAATGACCATGTCAATCCATCTCATCTGGGGTCTTCCTTTCTTGCACTGTCCCTAAACTCTACCAAACAGGATGTTCTCCAAGGACTGGTCCCTCCTGGCCACGTGCCCAATGTATGTAAGATGGAGCTTCGAAATCCTAGCTTCAAAGGAGAAACTTGGTTTCACCCTCTCCAAGACAGATTTATTTGTTCTCCTAGTGGTCCATGGTATGTTCAAGACTCTTCTCCAGCCCCACAACTCAAAGGCATCTATTCTAATTCTCTCATCTACTACTATAACATATTCTATTAACATAACAGAACAGTAATCATATTTTATGTTTCTGTAATTACAAACCACTGTATGTACTCTAAATCTTTTTAATTATTCATTTTTATGAACATTTACAGAGATTTTTTTATTTCCATTCATTCATAGTTGCACTTTTCTCCCCGCCCACCCGCACCCCCTAAATTTTTAAAATAAGAAACTGAAGGGTTGTTGATTCAAGACTATGTTGTTGTTAGGTGCCACTGAGTCTAGTTAGACTCATAGCAACTCAAAGAACAACAGATCTGAATCCTGCCCATCCTGTACGATCGTCACACCTCCTGACACACTAGAGCCCTTTGCGACAGTCACCATGTCAATCCAATCTACCTGGTCAAGAGTCTTTCTTTCTTTCAGCATCTCTCCACCTTCCATGAGGTCCCTCTCAAATGAACTGCCTTATCTAATAACACGTTCAAAATACGTTGTTGTTAGGTGCTGTCAAGTTGACTATACAACTCATAGTAGATGAACTGTTCAAAGGACCTATTCACAACAGGTCTGAGCCCTGTCCTGTCCTGGGTCAGCTTCACAGTCTCTGAGATGCATGAGCCCACCGTCACAGTCTCTGGGTCAATTCATCTTGTTGACGGTCTTCCTCTCATTCTCTGGCCCTCCCCCTTTTCCAGAACAATGTCCTTTTCCAAGGACTAGCCCCTCCTGACAAAATTCACAACTGTGGACATCCCTAACCCTGGAGCTGCCTATATGCTAATACTCTGATGCTTAGAAGTCATCTGATTAGACCTAGGTGAGAGGTGCAGCTAGGCCAACTGGCATAACAAAGTCCATACAGAACGATTCTACGTCTTACTTCAGTGAGGATAGACTGGGAACTTGGAGTTTGAAGTTGTTGTTGTTGTTGTGTTCCATTGAGATGGAACCGACCGACAGCTGAGCCTCCAGCAGGCTTTCAGAGGCAGCTAATCTCACAGGAGGACACCGCTCATCCTTCTGCTGGATTCAAACTGTGTGCCTTTGGGATTGCAGCACAGCCTCTCACCACTAGCTACCAAGCTCCCTATAGCCATCTAAAAAACACCACCTAAAGCAGAGATCGTAAAGAAAAACAAAGTCCCAGTGAGACAATTCGTCCCAAGGACTGAGAGACACAAAAGACAGGACCTGAGACCAGAGGAACCAGGTAATGCCCGACCACCTTTCTGATCAGGGTCACAACTGAAGGTCCTGTGCAGAGGAAGAGGAAAATGAAAAGTAAAATTCAAATCCATTTAAAAACTCACACAACCAAGCTCACTTGTCTGATAGACACCCATGGAACCTCCACGGATCACCCCGCAGCAAAACAACCACAGACAGGTGTGTAAGGTGGACCATGACACCTGTGAGGACCATGCTCCCAGAACCACCATCACATGAAACCAAACACCACCACACATGTGTGTAAAGTTGACGTTGACACCTGTGAGGAGCATGCTCCCAGAACAACCACTACATGAGACCAAAAGGCTGCATCTGCCCAAAAACAAAGCTCAGAAGGCAGGAAGGGGCAGGAAAGAGGGTGACTGGAAATGGGACACCTAGGGAGGAAGTGGGAGAGTGCTCGAACAGTGAAGGGATTGCAACTGTTGTTAAGAAACGAAATACATAAACTGTTAAATAGAAAACCAATGTGCTTCTGTGGACCAAACCGCAATAAAAAGTTCCAAAGGAAAAAAAACAAACTCATGTGAAAGATCAGCTCCACCCTCAGAGGTCACACCAGGTCTGGAGATGCCTGGTTCTCACTACCGAGGTCACCGCCTGCCCTGGCTATTCACACCCTGGACAACAGGTAGGCAGACCCCTCAAAGAGGTCCTTGGGCCCCTTCTCACACCCCAAATCCTTTCTCTTCCATGCCTCTCAATGTCCTGTCCTCTGCTTGTCCCCTTTCCCTCTACCCCCCTGCAGGGACACTGGGGCAGCGATGCAGGGAACATGCACAGTCAGCCTCCAAGTGGCAGGCTGGCCAAGCCAGGTTCTCCTCCTCTCTGCTCACCTCCAGCCCCGGGGCCGGGAGAGCAGGGTTTCCCACACTGGCTGCACCGCCAAGATGGGCAGGTCTCTGAAGTAACACCCAAATTACAAGCCCGAGTGCTGGAGCCAAGATCAAATGAGGCTGTGAGTTCACACAAAGCAACCTCGCACGAGCCTGTCCGTTCCTCACCTGGGGAGACAGGACAGCGAGACGAGACTCGGAGGCTGCCCCAGAGCCACAGCCACATTACTGGGTGACTCAGGGACCTGGGCGGCAGTTTCCAATGGTCTCACCCGAAAACTAATTGGCACATGGGGCCAGTGGTGACCTTTGATCCTCCCAGACAGCGGAGTGGTGGCTGCAGAGCCGGAGCCGAGCCAGGTGAATCAGAGGGCCCACATCACCCCGGAGCCAGGACCAGGTGTTAATAATAGAACACAGGAGCCCCAGGCCCTCAGAAGAAAGCGCCAAGGAGCCATGGCCTTGAACTTGAAAAGGCCCAGGGCTGTTCTCCGCCCAACTGCTGAGGAAGCAGAACGTGCCTCTCCCACTCACTAGGTCCTGGCTGGGGGGCAGCATACGGAAGCAGTGCCCAATCCTGATGTGCCCTCGCATGCCTGGCAGCCCCTGAGGATCCCCTGGAGCCGCCCACCAGCCTTGGTCACTCACCGGACACAGCCACCTCCATGTGTGCCTCCAGTGGGCGGTTGTTGTCCAGGTCTCGGCTGAGCTGCAGCTCGCCCGTGGCGGGGTCCAGCAGCAGCAGCTGCAGCTCGTTACCATGCACAAAGGTGTAGTTGAGGCTGTCCGAGAGGTCGGGGTCATGGGCCGGGATGCGGCCAATGACGCCGCTGGGAAAGCTGTTGGACTTGTTGGTGACATAGTTGTTGAAGAGGATCTGGAAGTCGGGGAGCACTGGGGGGTTGTCGTTCTGGTCCAGCAGCCGGATGTGCACAGTGGCCCGGCTCACCAGCGGCGCAGATGTGGCCTGGACCACCAGCACGTACTCACGCCGGACCTCGAAGTCCAGCTCGGCCAGCGCACGCAAGTCCCCACTGAGTAGGTCCAGCTGGAAGACCTCGGGCACGTTGCCCTCCACAATCTGGTACATGATCTGGGCGTTGGGGCCCTCGTCTGGGTCATGGGCTCGGATCCGTGCCACCACTGAGCCCACTGGGCTGTTCTCCTCCACAAACAGCTCCAGCTCATCCCTCTCAAACACAGGTGGGTTGTCATTGATATCCAGGACAGTCACCTGGACCTCCACTGAGGCGCTCAGAGGCGTGGGCCTGCCCCGGTCCACGGCCAGAGCACGCAGGCTATACACGGCCACATTCTCCCGGTCCAGCCGGCGCTGGGTGCGGATCACACCTGACGTGGGCTCGATGTAGAAGTCCCCATGCCCATCGTCCCCGCCCTGGAAGGTGTAAAGCAGGCGGCCGTTGGGGCCCGAGTCCCGATCGGTGGCAGAGACTTGGAGCACGCTGGTGGACGGGGGTGCGTCCTCGAAGACGGAGCCCTGGTAGAAGTCCCGCAGGAAGCGGGGGGCGTTATCATTGGCATCCAGGATGAGGATCTCCAGCGAGGTGGTGTCCGACTTCTGCGGGATGCCATTGTCCCGGGCGGTGATGGCCAGCGTGTAGGCGGCCTGGTCCTCATAGTCCAGCTCCGTCAGGGTGTAGATGGTGCCGGTGTCGGGATGGATGCGGAACTGCGGCACAGGGTCTGCCAGCTCGTAGGTGATCCTGGCGTTCTCCCCGGTGTCCTCATCAGTGGCGCTGATGGTGGCGATGGAGGTGCCCACAGGGCGGTCCTCGCTGACGCTGACCGTGTAGTGGGAGCTCTGGAAGACCGGGCGGTGGGTGTTGGCGTCGGTGACGTTGATGAAGACCTGTACCGTGTGAGACCTGGTGCCGTCCGACGCGGTCACAGCCAGCACGTACTGCCGCTCTTGCTTGTAGTCGAGCGGCAGGGCCAGTGTGATGAGGCCGCCGCCGCTCTGACTGCTGAGAGCGAAGCGGTTGCGCGTGTTGCCGCCAGTGAGTTGGTAGGTGATGACACTGTGCGCGTCCCGGTCGCGGGCCTGCAGGGTCAACACGCTGCTGCCCACCGCCGCGTCCTCGTTCAGACGCAGCTCGTACACCGGCTGCGTGAACACCGGGTCATTGTCGTTGACGTCCAGCACTGTGATGGACACGCTGGCCGAGGAGCTCATGGGCGGCGAGCCGTGGTCCACGGCCTCCACCCCGAAGCTGTAGTGCTCCGTCTCCTCGCGGTCCAGCTCGGCACACACCGTGATCCAGCCGGTGCTGTTGTGGATCTGGAAGGGGAAGGAGCCCCCCGGGGAGGGCTCCTGGGGGGCCGCGCTCCCGCCCCCTGCGCCCGCAGTGTCCACCAGGCGGTAGCGCAGCCGGGCATTCTCCCCCGCGTCCGCGTCCACTGCCTGGATGTGCAGCACTGAGTGGCCGAGCGGTACGTTCTCCAGCACCGCCGCCTGGAAGGGGCTGCTCACGAAGATGGGGGCGTTGTCGTTCACGTCCAGCACCTGCACGGCCACCAGGCCCGAGGCGTTGATGAGGGGCGGCCGGCCCCCGTCCTGCGCCTTGATGCGCAGCGTGTACTCACGGATTGCCTCGAAGTCCAGCGGGTTGATGACGTCCAGGCTCCCGCTCAGGGAGTGCAGGTAAAATTGGCCTTTGAGGTTCCCGCTGACGATGCTGTAGTGGATGGCGGCGTTCTGGCCCTGGTCCTGGTCAGTGGCCTGCACGCGCAGCACGGCCGTGTTGACCGCCACATCCTCGGGCACCTGGACCACATAGCGCTTCTCGCTGAACTGCGGATAGTTGTCGTTCTCATCCTCCACGGTGATGTGGACGGTGGCTGTGGCACTGAGCGGGCCCGGGTTGCGGCCCTGGTCGTTGGCCTCCACCAGCAGCTGATACTCGGCCGCCTCCTCTCGGTCCACCGCTGCACGCGTGCGCACCACGCCAGAGCGCGGGTCTATCTCGAACACTCCGCCCGCGCCCTCCAGCAGGCGGTAGCGCATGTTGGCGTTGGAGGGCGCGTCGCCATCCGTGGCGCGGATGGTCAGTACCTCGTAGCCCACCTCGAGGTTTTCACGCACGCGCTCCCGGTACTCAGACTGCTCAAAGACTGGGCTGTGGTCGTTGGTGTCGCTGACAGTCACAGTGAGGTAGGTGGCGGCCGAGCGCCGTGGAGAGCCGTGATCCACGGCGCTCACCTTGAGGACGTGCGTGTCCTTGGTCTCGCGGTCCAGCGCGCGGGCCGTGCTCACCGCGCCCGTGGCGCCATCGATGAGGAAGTAGCCACTGGAGCGCTCGTCGAACAGCGCCTCCATCTGGTAACTCAGGCGGCCCGCCTCGCCCTCGTCGGGGTCGTGCGCGTGCAGCTCAATGACCTGAGTGCCCGCCGGCTCGTTCTCAGGGACTGACACCTGGTAGCTAGGCAGCGGGAACTGCGGGGTCGTGCTGCCGCCCGCGCCCCGTCGGGCACGCCGTGCCGCCGCTGCCCGGCCCTGGCGCAGGCCTGGCGGCGATGGCGACAGCAAGGGCAAAGGCGCGCCCGTGGCCGCGTCTAGCGCCAGCCTTTCCGGGACGGCGCCGGCCACGCGCCCCAGGGCGCACAGCACGCGAAGACACACGAGGCGGTGCGGACAGCTGAGCCCGAGGCGCGACGGGCAGCGGCAGGCAGGGAAGGTACCGAGGACCGCGCGCGCCGATCTCACCCTGGCTCCGTCGGAGCCCGGGAAGCAGAGTGCAGAGCCGAGTCCAGGCACTGTGAGCAAGGCTCGCGCGCGTAATTCTGCGTCAGGAATTGGTCCGCGCCCGGTCCCGCAGCCGAGACCAAGCGCGCGCTCCCGATGGCGAAGGCTCAGTGCGTCCCGGGCGCCGCGCTCGGTCAGGCGTAAAGGCAGCGGCAAAGGGCGCCCCACGAGGCGTGAGCAACCCCGAGGACCTGTGCCTGGCCCGCGCCGCTGTCCCACAAAGTGCCCGTCATGACTCACAGTCAACAGTTCCCGCAGCGTTCGGGCCGTGCGCGCCACATCCAGCGCAGAGATCCCGCCGGGCCTGGGGGCCAAGGCGCGCTCCCTGCCGGGAACCTGCGACTGCCGGGCGACCGCGCGCAACTCGAGCGCGAGCAGGGCGGCCAGGAGCAGCAGCGCGGGCAGCATTGGCGGCGGCGCCATGGCCCGGAACCCGAGCCCGGCGCCCCAGCACAGTCCATGCACCCGGCGCGCCTCCGCATCCACTCGTCGCGGCCGCGGCGCGGCTCCCACGCGCCCGGCTGCGACCCCTGGGGACCACCTGCGCCCCGCCGCTCGGGCCTCCTGCGGGGCTCTGGCCGGGTTCCGAGGATTCGCCCGGGGGTCCGCGCGGTCGGCCTCCCTCGCAGCTTCCACTGCGAAAGGACTTGCGGAAAGTTGGTGAAGTTGGTTTCAAGATGGCTCCTCTGCGCGTCCTGGGAGGCACCGCGCAT